TCCCCAACACTCTGGAGAAAGATTATCTGGTGTGGCTGATTGCTTAAAAACACAACTTTTCATCCCCTTTAACAAAAATTGGGAACACCACTCTGCAGACATGGAGTGAAGAAGCCGAGTAGAACAAAATGTTCTTATACATTTAATTTTAAGTTTCTCTAACATGTCCAAGGTGCTTTGTGTTTACTGTTTTTGCATAAAAAAATATAATAAAGTATCTACTTAACGAGTCCCATTTGGCACATTTTAATGTTGGTTAATAGTTAACAAGTTGCGAAAGTAAGGTTTGTAGTTTGCCTTTTCGTCTCGCAGCAGTAAATGTAACAGAAAGGCAATTTGATTGATGTCATGCTGTTGCAGTCCGAAGGTTGAGCAGAAGATAAGGCAAGCCTGCAGAGTCTCAGACCATCTTTGGAGGCTGTTTAAATTACAAACATCATTGCTGCCTATGAAACAGGGTTCGGTGTAAGACTTACTCTGAGGGCTACGTGAGGAACATTTCTGTGCAGTGGCTCTCTTCAGCCACAGCACATTTTGTCCCAGTTAATCATATTTGGCTGTTGAAAACTGGTGTAACTTGATCCAACAAACTTCCTTTGTGAAGAGGTGAGGAGCAAAACATGAGCTGCAGACAATTGCTAGGTCATATTTCTGGGTTGTCCATAAGGCTTTGTCCAACGGCAGTACACCCTTCCTTATTAGGACTGTGTTTACACAACCCATTAACTACTGATGACAGAACCAAAATGACACACCCAGAGGGATTGGCCTTTCTGTTCCACTGTAGGTGTGGCCCTATCTCGCTATTTCAGATGTGCAGAAACATGCATACACAAGCAGGAACACAAAGCACCTTGCCCATCTTATTTTGTTCTCAATTTTTCTTTCCCTCACAATTTCTCAATCTTGACATGTCAGTACAGAGGGTTCGGAACTGCACATTTTACAACTTATATGTTATTATTTTTAAGTTGTAGAAAAGCTGAAATAACAAAAATAGTGCCAAGAGATTTGTACAATGTTTGAAAAGTCAATTAATCTTACTATGACATGAGCTGTAATGATAGTTAATTAAGGTGCTAGGTTAAAGCAGTAAAGTTTTAAAGAACTGGAGCCACTCGGTTGTAATCTTGAACTATTATACTTTGCCCTGGTGATCAGATAAGGGTTAGATTTTAAAAAGAAAGTGCAAATGTGTTTTATCTTTGGTTTTTAATCCAGCTCAAGTTTAATATCTAATTTAAGATTGTTTTGAAAACTACACTCCATTTTTTATTTATCCAAAGACTGGGTTTATACTGTTTGAGAAGAAGTTGGGTATTTTCAGACAAACTGGTAGTTTGCTAGGTATAGCATTTTAATTTTTCTTTTATTTTCAAATTCTGTTGTTTCTCTATAACAGATGTTTTTATCTGAGCATTTTCTGTTTAAAACATAAAGCATTTTCTGTTTAAAACATAAAGGATCAGTAGGAGCAGTAGGATCAAAACACAGGATGGCTTTTCTATCCTTTTCTGTGTTTAATTTGCAGGTTTTCTCTGTGCAGGTGTTTGCTCAGGCTTTCTCCCACCATTTGGAAATATGTATGTTAATATAGCTTGATACTTCACTGCTGTTTCATACCTTCCTGCTGCTATTTCATACCGGTAAAACAAATAATTTCTAAACAATTTCCTTATAAAAGTGCATATCAATATACTTCTCTTTGTAGTTATGTATTTCAAGAAATTATGGGTACAAATATTCACAAATTGCTGAATTCTCACTTAAGGTTTCATTTGTTTTTATTAGGACTTTGTATTTCACTCTATTTCTATTCATTTTAGTTGTAATTCCAATATGGACCAGTTGTTTTTTATGAAATATGACTAATTGTGAATCCTAATAGGAATAAAAATTCAAAGAACCACACTTATAACAACATTTGTTGCAACATTTTAATACTGCAGACTATGATTATTTTACCCATCTGTTGTCAAAGTCAGAACAAACTGTACCTGAGGTGGGTAATAATAATAAGTAACACATTTTATTTGTAGGCGTCTTTCTCGACATTCAACTCACCTTACATGGATATAGTTAGAAATTAATGCACAGCAGCACACAAGTGGCTATGTTCCAAAAGTCTGGTAAAGCACACAAAACTACAGGGTTATGAAATGGGTGAAGAAAATAAATAACCAGCACCAACAAGTTTTCCTTGTGTCTCCATGTGGTCGTCAGGTTGACTTCTGTGGCCCTCCCTCTCGCCTACTGATGTTCGGAAATAAGTCTACAAGGATAAAGCAGGAAGAGAGGATGGATGATTGCTAAAAACAAACAAACAAACAAAAAAAACAGATATCTTAGCCCAAGGATTAGATACTAAGTTATAGAATTTGTCAACTATAATTTCCAACTCACTTTTTGGTGAGCTTAACATTAGCTTTTGGGAACTTTAGCCATTTATTTGGGTGTGAACATGTAATTCAGAAAACAAACATGTTGTGTTAAACTAAAGGAAGCCTGGATCCAACCATATTTGACAACACAAACTTATTTGTTTTCAACCAAACACTTTTTAGAGCAAATTTGATTCTGTTTATTGGTTTATTTAATTTTTAGAGTACAATACAACATCAAACAATATTTCATACCATGTTTTAAGACATAAAACATACATTAAAATCTACATTTACAGGAATTTCAACTTAATTTGTGGTAAACATTAAAATGCATAGGTTTCTACAAATATAGTGTAAAATGTGTTTGTGTGCTTGGTAATATTTAGAAAACCACAGAGATTTTCACTTTATGAATCAATGCAGCTTTAAAGCCTTGCTTGAGCAGGTCATGGTCCTTGGCTGAAAATTAGCATTTAAATAGCGTCGCCCACATGGGTCTGATGTTTTGCACCTGAAAAGGAAGAGAGGAGACTGGGATGAGTTCAGGAGAAATTAAGTAGGGCTATGTTATTGCAACAAAATTACAATCAACATCAAGGTAACCAAACGCCTGGCGTAATATGTGTTATATTTTTTTAAGGAAAAGTAATGATAAGTAGCCCTGTTATCACACAAATCTGTTCCTTGAAGTTACACAACATGAGTTATTGCAGTATCAAGTTTTTTCTTTGACCAACACAGGTGCGGCACATGACAAGTTTAAGACAGGCTTGGTGAAAGATTAAGAAATACACATTCCTCAGAGGGGAGTTTCCTTAGCATTCATTGACAATACATACCCATTACCTCTATCATTATCAGCATTTGCAAAGGTTTAGTGATTCTGGACACACACAAAAAAAACACACAACACCTCCAGCTTGACTTGCTCTATTGATTATCCAAAGAGAATCAGAAATCCTGAAACATATTCAAAGTAACCCTAGATTTTCAAGTTTCTCTTTGAAAGTGGCAGATCTTAGATCTGATCCAGTTGTATTGTCGTTTGAAACAGTGTAGTCACGAGTCACTGAAGGACAAGCTATTTTTATGTAGCTGAATGGGTGCTGTGGCTACTGAAGGCACAGTCATTCAGGTTTTTTAAATGTATTCCCCTTTTGCAAGGCAGATATTTAAAACAAAATTTTCTAAATTAAATCATACGAGAAGTGTTGAACTAATGTTTAAAGCTTTATAGGTCATTTTAAAACCATTCAACATCACTTTAGACAATGCTTATCACTTCTAGAATGCCCTGTCATAATTATTTGTTTTATTGTCTTGTTCTCAAAAATGTGTTTGAGATAAAGTCTGCCTTTCTGGGAAGTGTCCCAGAAAGGCAGAACAAAGAAGCAGAACAGAGTTTTATTGAGACAAGTAATTAAAAATTTGATTGTTACCCCTGCTATTTGCCTGTTTTTGATAAAATATTTAAAATGTTTGTTTTTATGTCCAGTAAAGACATCTATTCAAGACGCTGTTGCAATCTGTTAAAAGTTGTTCCTCTGCTGTCCTTTGTTTGTTGGACTTGCCAGTTGTCACATAAATTATTTAACACAGACAAATTTTTTAAGGAGTGACCAAATGAATGCATGTAGAAATAGAAAAATGCATGTCCAAGTATTGAGCCCTGATGCACACCAGACGGTCACATAAAAGTTTTGGTTCTACACATAGAAGATAAGCCACTGAAGAACAACACCAGAGGTTCCAACAATTTTTCTGCACAAGAATAGCAATAGTATATAGAAATTACTAAACCTAATTTATTGGTTAAAAGCTTAATAAGTCTGTGAAGTTGTGTAATCTTTTCCTCTCGATTGTAAGCAGTTGGACTAGTGGATGTAAACTGTAACAAACAGTGGCAATTTTAGCGTATTGTTCATTTATATTCACAATCAGAAAGTTTTTTTAAAAATTTTTTTTGTAAAATTAACATTGTACAGAAAGTACATTGTACAAAAAGTCAACACTGTCAGTGTTGACTTTTTATTCTGTTGCAGAGTGCAAACTGTGTGATTTTTACATTAATTTTGTGCACTTTTTAAAACTTTTCTGGTAATAATATTAACCGCCACAAAAATAGTTTCTAACACCAATGGGTGTCATTATTTTGACTCCTTCTAAAAGTTTAATGGTGGTTCCCAAGAGTGTTGTAGTTTTTTTAGCTGTTTTCTCTCCATCTTTTAATCAAGATTTGATCACATTAATACCTTTTCCGTTTAGTTTACACATCCTGCTCATTTCTGTGCCTGGTTTTTCTAAAGTTCAGGGCAGTAAGGCGGGATGGTTCCCTTCACGGTGCAAGATTTCAGTCAATGAGAGAGAATTACACATAAAGTACCTGTGTGAGTGTTTTTCTTTTTTTATTGGACACGTGGAAATGAAGCCTTGCTCTCAGTGAGTATTTTATCATCGGTTACTGGTGCAACACTGGGCATGTGTATGAAGAAATAGTCCAACCCCGTAACCCGCCTACCACCCTCCCTCTTCCCCTTGGTGAGTCTCGGTCCGCCCGCAGCAGTCTCCTTCCCGGTGAGGGTTTCTTTTTTTTTTTTTTTTTTTTTTTTTTTTTTTTTTTTTTTTTTTTTACTACTACAGAGATGGCTGCGAAAGTGTGCAGATCGGTGCTCCTGTTGTCCCGGAGCAGCGGAACGGCGGCCGGCAGCCTCCCCCTAGTTGTCTCTTCTTCACAACGGCACCAACAACACATAAGACCGGTAAGTCCCAGGACGACTGAGCGCTCGGAGCGGAGAGGGCTGTACGGAAGGGTAGGGTTGGGAGGAAGCACCGGGCGGGCTGGCTGGACCGGAGAGAAGGCAGCGCTGCTGGCTGGATGGCTGCTGGCTGGCGAGGGGGTTTGCTAAGGAAGTAATGCTAACTAGCCTGAAGATTTTCCGCTGCTGCCTCGCGTCCTCATGGTTTGGCTCCTTTCGGAAAAAAGGTGAGGCTGAAGATGAGTCAACATCCCTTTGTCGTGTGGTTTTACTAATCCTCAGCGGGACGTGGAGCTTTGACAGGAGGCATTGCAGATTTTTTGGTTGGAGCACTTGCTGGAGCTCATCGACACCCCGCTGGCTCTGCCCCGTTCACTGAAACAATCTGCTTTGACACTGAATGCTTCACTTTATTGTCCTTCAACTTCACAACCAGAGCTTTTCACTATGGCTGCATGTGAGTTAAGATTTTGGATCATTTCCTTGGATCTGCAGTGCGATGTGTGGCTGGAGTGATTACGCGCGGCCACGTTTGACTGTCATATTTCCATGCTTTTGCATAGATGTTTGACATTTCCATACTCTGTGTGTAGAAGGTTGCTGGGGTGGCTTTATGGGGCCTTATCTGTGTGAACTGCAGCAGAAACTCAGAATAATGAATATCAGTTCACAGCCAAAGAGGAAACCTACACATCTGTGCGTGAGTGTGTGTCAGTGTGAGAGGTAGAATGGGGAGAAAGTTTGTGTGCACACGCACACATGAACAGGCCAGCCCGCACTTGGATGATGTCAGACTCTGCTGGATGCTTTCTCCCCTCCCTGGGTGTTTCCCCGTTCAGCTGGGAGATCCTGGGTTTTCCTGCAACCTCATGCAGGTCTTGGACATGGCCTCTGTGTGTGTGTTTGTGTGTGAGTGTACAGGCAGCTTCACCGAAGCTCACAATGGAGCAGGAAGGTGATTGTGTTTGCAAAACTGTGGCTCGTTCCTCTCTTGGTGATCACTTCCATTTAACTGCAACTAGGGAAGGTTTATTACCGCCTCCGTCTGGGGTTAAAGGTGAATCAGGGAAATCATCTGGAAGTAAAAGAATGATGAAGTTGTAACGGTCATTTTACATTTGCTTATGTGCTTGTTCATTTGACTTCCTTTGAAATCATACTTCTCTCAGGTGTCGGAAAATTACAGATGCCATAATGCATCCTGAAAAAAGGACAAAAATAATTTGATCAGAAAATAAGATTCTAGCCACTAAAAAATTACTTCCACTGCTGTTTGCAGGGAAAATGTTAATTTTGCTTTAACCATGGATGCTGCTTTGACACTTCCACTATAATCTTTTGCTAAACTGCCACAGTCCTTTCAAAATTGTTTGAAGAATCTAAAGGTGTTTACCTAGAGTCTGGATTCCATAACCATTGGGTTGGGACGGACACAGGTACCAAAGTGCAGGTTTAAAAAAAATACTGTTTCAAAAGGACCAAAATGTTCTTTCACGCAGCTGTTAAAGTTCAGATTTCAGTAAAATGCTAGAGGGTTTTTGTGGCAGAAAGGAACACTGTAGCACTGCTGCACACTGTCCGTCAGCTGACTGGAGGAAGGATATCAGTCTATTTTCCTTGCATGTTTGGGAAAGACAAATTTAATTGCTGGATTTAACAGTACCCAAACAGAAAATTTGCCTCGATATCAATTTAGTTGTAGTTTAGCCTCTGTTCCTTTATGAATACAAGAGGAAAAACTCTATAAGGAGGAAGATGGAGGAACTTTTATAATTTGTTAGTGTTTACTTGAAAATGTGGCCAAATTTAGCATGCTAAATGTAGATGTTTGCTGAAGTGTACACAAATATTGTCTGACTGCATAATTATTTTTTATTAAAATATTGTCTTATTTCAGTAGCAGCAGAAATAATTAGTTATTCTCTTAAAAAAATATCCTGGATCATGTTAGATATTTTGCTTTAAACTTTTGTATAAATACAGTGACACTGTGAAACCCTGACATGTTTTTCTGAGGATTCCCATGAGATTTTCTCATCACCTCATTCTGCATTTGGACCTCAGGGTATCTGGACCAGTCAGGAACTACCTCAGTTGTTCTATTTTCACTAGAAGCTCTGGGAATCCCCAAAATTTTATTAGCTGGTGATCTCACTCAGTACTAAGTAGGTTGTCAAAGCATTATGGATTTTTAGTCCAAGTCTGAGGAGGGGTATAATTTTATCCTCCTAGTGTCCTATTTAAACCTTCACTGACTCCATTGGGTTAGTCACTGCGCTGTGTGGCAGCCTTTTTAAAATTTTCATTTCCTTTCACTCTTCTCACATTACAGTTTTGTTTCTCTGTCACAGAGAGGCTCTTTAGTCCACTGAAGTGTTGCTGTCACAGCTTCTATAATGCAGACCTGTCAATTTGTGACAACCAAGTGTCTGTATTCATGTGGGACTTTCCAGCTGCAGAAACACATTTTTGTTTCCATATCTGTATTTATAAAGCTGCAGAGGGATGTATATGCAGTTGTCCTGGAGCTCATAGTCTATGTTTGCAGGAATGGTTTTCTGAATGCTTCTGCTATCCTAATGTAGTCTCAGTCATGATGTCCTCGCTCCCCGGGGACGGAGAGCAGACAGAGGGCTCCAGAGACTCATGGACTGGATTTCTATTAACTCAGCTGTCACATAAACTCTTCCATTTTGACATCTGGGATTTGTGAAAGATTTATTTCCATTGCATGAACTAATCAAAGCAGAATTATATTAAAAGTAACTCACAATCTAATGTCCAAATTTGAAGTTAAAGATTAAGCTGTTTCCGGTACTTATTTATTTCCTTTTAAGCTGACTTGCCCATCAAAGCTGAGCGCCCGGCGCCTTTAGCCGTCAGAGTCAAAGGGTCAGGGCTCACTTCTTGCTCTTAATCCAATCAGAGTAGGAGTAAACTAATTTATTCCCGCTGTGCTCACAGACTCTGTGCTCGAGTTAGCAGGATTAGCCTGATAAGAGAGTGACGGGAAGCTTTGTGACTGTGCTGAAGGTGATAAGGTAGCAGAATGATTGATAAGCTAGCCATCCACCCAGACAGTTTCATTAATGTACTCCACCCTTTGCACTCAGTGGTTTCTGACCCCATTTTTGACATCAGTTATGCACATGTATGCCTGAATAGGGTAGATGCAATATAAACACTTTATTGTGGCTTCAGTGGTAGAGTGTCACTGTGGGTCATTCTGGCTCAGGGGGATGATGGACATGATGTGGCCTCCTTTGAAAACAGAGTGTGAAACTTTCTTCTCTTTTCTTCTTCTCTTCCCTTTTGAGGATAAAGAATCCATTTGTCCATCTGTCCTTTACCATCTAGTTTTAGTTTGTCGATCCGTTTGTCCATTTGTTCCTGCATCCATTTGTCGGTCTTGTTCGGCAGGGATTTAATGTTTGCTTGGGTAATATTTAGTGATGCTCAGAGAAAGTGTCTGGGTGCACGGAGAGAATTTCTCTGAGTGGGTGAGAAAGCTGATCCAGATTATTTTCCTACAGAGTGATCAGCTAGTGTTTCAGTCAGAGGTTAGTAGTTACAAAGCGAGCCATTTGCTGAATGGATATTCCTTTCAAGTCTATAAACCATTCTGTGTCTTTGCTGCCGATCATTACATGCTAACTGTTTCCCCATCAGGATAAAGCGTTTGCCATTGTGGTTGAAGCTTAACTTTAGAAAAGTGCAATTACGCTTAATAGGTGCAGATTGAGACAGTGGACATTGTAAATGGAGCACAGAAATTTATTTTGGGTTGTAGGGAAGGAGTATGAGTGTGTCACTTCCACGTTTTACAAAATAAGTGTATGTGGTTGTGATCAAACCTGTGTGGATCCTAACCAGGATCATTTCCTCTGTGATGTTGTGCTTGTGGCTCATGTGGTCTTTGTAAATATGAGGCAAATATTGTAAAGCACATAAAGAAGTAAATGTCAAATAAATATGTAAATGCAGCACATTAACTCTGGGTGCTTAACTTTTTTGAGTTCTATAGTTTATATATAACAAATATATCGTCATTATTTACAGTATTAATATTGTAACAAATCTAAATCAGACACCGATGACATCAACCAAAGACAATGAATAAGAAAGGCAGATGAGAAAGAGAAAAAGTTTGGATTATTGCAATCAACGTCATCATTAGGAAAACTAAATTTATCAATTATGCACATATTGCTTGATTTAATAAATCCTGCTGGCCTACGGACTATTTTTTCCCCCAGATGGGAATAATAATGAAATGATTAATAATAATTATTGTACTGACCTATGTTTGTAATTTTCTAACATGTTTTGCATGTATCGTTCCCATAAAAAAGCCAACCTGATCTTAATAACTAATGTTATATTGAAAACTATTGAAAATGCATCGTCTTTTGTGACAGACGATGCAGCACATTTCTTTTCTCTGTTTCTATAGGTTTTTTTTTAAAAAAAGAAGCAGAACCGGTCAAAATCTGGTTCGACAGGTCAGAATTCAGAGAAAATGAGTTCTCAGTATTGGCTCGGAAGAGCTTGATTGCTGCATCTCTGCTGGTTTGTAGTTTATTAAAACATTTTGGATTCACTGAGATATTTTTAAGCCAATCTCATGAAAAGGTCTGGAGTTAGTGAAGGTGTTTTCTTCAGAGTGTGAAAATGGGCGTAACTTTGGTGTTTAAAATGTCATCCTTATGGCCTTTAGTGGCTGGACTAGTGCAGTAGTACGGAAATGACAACCTTACCTGAGATCGCAGTAGAAGCAGCTGGTCCTTCTACGTAGTCACAAACATCCTCAGCTTTAATAATCTGTGTTTTCCCTGTTAAACTAGAAGCATCTGACCAGATTTCAGTGCTGTTTTCTGCCTGTATGTTTCATGTAACTTGAGGTCATTTTGTGTTTCACTTTGTGTTTTAGATGCTTCTGATAAGGTGACAGTATTTGTTTTTGCATACGGGTTTAGAAATGTGAGAGGGATGCCCGGTTTAAG